TTTGTGCGTAATTTTTTGATTTGCCACGTAAACGGGAGAGAAGAATTAAAATTTCTTGAACATCTTTTATGCACCAAGCACGTACTGTGGCAGGCACCTTACCTATATTTCTTCATTTAATTCTCAAGACAGCTCTGTGAAATGTTATTATAGGTATTTTATGAATGAGGAAACCACTACAAAGAGGTTAACCAACTTGTCTCAGGTCTTAGTACTTATAGGAGAATGCTAGGATCTGACTCCAAAATTGACACTCTCCTCAGTTAGAAGTTGACACTAAAAATCCAGGTGTGTATTTCTACACAACCAGGCTTGACAGCTGAAGATGATTCACATCACTATCAACAGCTGCGCTTCTACCATTGCAGGTATTTCCTGCCACTGGAAATGCAATTATCTTCTTTTCCATATCCTACAAGAATATATATAAAAACTTCTTCCCTTTTAAAGAAATATTCAGATACACTTAATTATAACTCTTTATCGTTTCACTTTTTAAGGAAAAAATAACTTGAGTTTCTGCAACTTCTCTTCACAACCAGGGATAATAGGACCCAGCCCTTCTTTCATGGAATTCTGAGAATTCAGCATTGTCTTTCACATGTATATGTTGCTTTTCAAGTAAATCTCTTTTTAATTACAGGTGTTACAATAAATAGTAGCTTGCAGGAGCACTTGTAAACTTAAATAATTGCCTGCTTTCCTGTCAGTATCAAGCTTCAGCATGTGTGATATAAAGACCACCCTCTTTTCCCCAGATGAAGGGGGCCAAGGTTGCCGTAGGTTGTCCAAACTTTAGTCTACTAGTAAATGAGGTCTGTACATGTTCAAGAGCTGGGTTTCTCAAACAAAAGAAACATCCAAGGTGTCAGTGGTACCATTTATAACAATTTATAGCAAAGTGAATTCACTCTTTGTGTATTATTTAGTTGCAGGCCCTAGCCTCTGAACTCAAAACTGGCTTCACAGAAGCAATGCAAGAACTGTCAAGAATTCAACATGGAGAATATGCTTTGGAAGAGAAGGTTAAGAGCTGCAGATGTTCCATGGAAGAAAAAGTTACTGAGATGAAGAATTCATTAAATTATTTCAAGGTAGGCCCCTCTTTCTTCTATTTCCCTGCTGAAGAGAGATTTCTGGTCTTAGTAACAGAAGTAGGAAACCTGCCTTTTTGCATAGCAGCCAAATACAGGAATTTCCCTCTGGTCTATTCATTAATTTTCATGGGAAAATATCTATTTCATGTTTTAATTTCTTGGATCTCTGTGTTAAAATTAGGAACTATAACAGAAGTAAAATTTTCATCTCATTCATTCATTCCTTTAACAAATATATATTAAAAGCTTACTGTGTACTAGATATTATGTTATATACTTTTAGGCCATATACCAGATTAAATACATATTGATTCTCATTTTTTAGGAAGAGCTGAGCAATGCCATGTCAATGATCCAGGCCATCACTTCCAAACAAGAAGAAATGCAACAGAAAATTGAACAGCTTCAACAGGAGAAGCGAAGAGAATCTCGAAAAGTTAAAGCCAAGTGAGTGTCCTACAGAAAAATCGACCAAAGGAAAACCTATAGGCAATGGCTTATACAAAGGCACTGGGAACACTTTCCCCGCTATTGGTGTATAGCTAGCTGGCCACTCAGCTCCACAGGTCAGCATGCAACGAAGGTTATACAGCATCAAAGTTGGTTAATACTAAAAATGAATGGTGACTATTACACAATAAAGGTACTTAATACAATAGAAGGTAAATAAAAATGATGTAAAGTGGCATGTAGAATTTGACTTCAACTATAAAAACATGAACTGACTCTCTTCTTAACCCATTATGTCTGAAGTCCCTTTGTTTCCCTTCCCTAGGAAAACTCAGAAAGAAGAACACGGCTCACAGGCCGGGCCTGCTCAAGCACAAGGAAGCCCCTTCCGTTCAATCAACATCCCTGAGCCTGTCCTTCCAAATGAAGACTTTACAAACCTTTTGCCTTCTCAGGCCTATGAAAAAGGTACAGTTCACAAATTGTACTGAATTAGCCAAGTATTTTTCCTTGATTCCTAGGGCTTAAGTAACGTGGAGAATACACACGTCCTCCATCCTTATTAGAGGAAAATGGTGTATCGCTCAGAATTTTTCCTTTTGTAACTGGGATTTAGAAGAATCCATAGGATCTAAGAGATGGGGAGAGTCTACACAATTTTTAAAGATTTTCTTTTTTGGGAAAACCCTAATCTGGGTACTCTGACTTTCAAATGGATTAGAAATTAGTCATTGCACAATATTACTATACCAACCATAGGAGAAAATACTAAAAAATTATTCACTCTGATGAATTGTTTCATTTTCTACATTACTTCTTGATCCTTGTCTCTCTGCAGAGACATAAAAGTGTGTGTTCTCCTTTTTTTTTTTTTCAGCAAAGGTTTCACTGGTATGAGAAGTCCTATCTGCCCTAACTGGCAGGCAGTGCTGTCAGTGGCAGTCTAACTCTGTACTCCCCTCACTTAGGAAAACTGAGCTGGTGTGGTCTGTGGGCTGAAACAGTTGCAACCTCATCCCTCATCTGAGGGAAAGAAAAGATGTTAGAAAATAAGGCAGTACTAAAGAAACAGGCTTTCCAAGGGATGTCAATAACCATGTTTGATTACATATTTGTTATATCTTTGTATCCTCAACTATGTCTAGCAGAGTACACAGGAGTATGACTGTAGATATTAACACTGTTTGGATGAATTTTCCTCTTTTTTTTTTTTTTTTTTTTGGTCTCATGTCAAAAGTCTCCAAAAGAGGCTCAATGACCTCTCAACCAATTGCAAGCTCCTCAAGGGCAGGGCTGGTAGTTTTTCTACCTTTATGGCTTAAGAAGCAATGTGGCTCATATATTTATAAACAATGAATATGCTTTGAATTTAAAGATCTAAATCAAATGGCTTTTAATTGTTATTAACTTTAAAGTACAGACTTGCTTTTTTATTTTTAGCTTTTACCCATTTGAGTAGTTATTTCAGAGATTCAATAGGTGTAGCCTCGGAAAACTCACTTGATTCATCTGAGGAGTGGGTTCATCCCACTCTGCCTTTTATGCACCATGTCATAGACAGCATGACACAAAAGAATGATCTTGTTAGGGAAGAACAGAGAATGGGCTTGGAAAGTAGAGTTCAGAGCAATGTCGAGCTCACCACGTTCACAAAGTAAAAGATTTAAAGTTATATTTGCAAAGTGCCCAGATGGATTTAAATTAGCTGTTTGGTGCCAAATCCTCGTTCCTTCCCAGTTACATAGGTACGGCTTACATAGCATGGTTTATTCTGCTGAGTTGCTGCAGAAATTTGGTGATAATGTGCCATCGTAAGACATTCTGGATACGACTGGCGGTAGATTATATTAAAACTAGAGGTCAAAAGACCGTACTTTCAAAGGGTTGGCTTACTCTCTGTTAATTATAAAACAGTGTCATTGTTATCTATGGACCCCAAATTCAGTATCTTAAAATAGCAAACACTCATTGTGCCACAGTTTCTCTGAGGCAGGAATCTGCGCACAGCTTAGCTGGGTGCCTCCGGCACAAGATCTCTCATAAGGTTGCAGTCAAGGTGCTGAGCGTCCCACTACGCATTCATCCTTCCTTCCATCCATCCATCCATCCGTCCACCCACCCCAGGCACTGATTCAGGTGGTGGGATGTCATAATGAACAAAACAACAAGAATTCCTACCGTGAAGGAGCTCTTGTTCTGAAGGAAGCGGACAATGAAAAAGATAAATAAAACATGTAGTATGTTAGGGAGTGGTAAGAAGACAAATAAGGAAATGCAGGTGTAATTCTAGAGAGGGTGCCAGGTAAAGACCTGAAGGAAGGAAGAAAGTTAATTTATGGTTTCCGGGGAGAAAAGGGAATTAGCCCCAGGGTCCTGGAGGGAGAAGAACTGACATGTTCAAGGAATGGCAAGAAGACCAATGGGGCTAAAGCAGAATGAACAGGGAGACAATAGATGTGTTTTTTTTTTAAGAAAGAAAGGAAATAGCAAGTAGAGGGTCAGCGGGGGCAGATATTTTAAGGCCTTATGATTGGCCTTATGATCATTCTAAGTTCTTTGGCCTTTGCACTGAAATGGGAAGTCTCTGGAGGGCTAAGCAGAGGTGTGACAGGGTCTGACTTACATTTCAACAGCATCATTCTGGCTCTGCTTAACATTGCCATCCTCACCATCATAGTTAAATAATAATTTAGCTCTTCTTGTGTGCAATTAAGAAAGATTATCTAATTTAATTCTTACGGTCATCTATGCGGTAAGTACCACTTATTGTATCTTTTTAGAGATGGGGAAATAGCATTTGCCACACTATATTGTAATTTTATTTATTTATTTATTTTACTGTTCTGTCTCCCTCAGTAAAATGTAAACTCTGTGAGTCTATCTCAGTTCCTAGCTCATAGAAGGTGCCAGTCCGTGTCAGTGGAATGAATACTGATTGAAAGCTTTCCTTCCTCTGCAGCCCAAGAGTCCAGATCCTTGCATGTAGCAGACAGCAATGTGAAGGGGATGATGGGCCCTGGTAAGCGGCTCTACTCTGAGTCCTCTTTTCTTCTTGCAATTCCACCCTTTCCCTTCTTCTACCTTCCCTGCTTCTACCCACTCAGTTCCAAACCAGGCATGAAAGAACTCAGGCAAGATAAAGCAGTATGGCTACTAAGATTCCAAGATGTGTCCTGGAGCAGGTCAGTGGCTCAGTTAAACCCAGAGAGAGAGAAAGGGTAGGAAAGACAAAATCCGTATTCCTGGTTCCTTCAGGCTCATTTCAATTACTGATGAGTTAACATTTGCTGAGAACTCCTAGGTGTTTGTAGGCTGACATAAATTTCCCATAGACCACACATAATTTATGGTTTACACAATTTAAAAGTTACTTACTTAAGAAATAATTCACCAGGATTTTATAAATTATTTCTTCTTCCCTCTCTGCCTTCTTCTGGCCTTTTGGAAACTTACCTTCCAGGACCAAGGAGGACAAATTCCAAAATAAGACACTGTCTTTGGCATCCTCCTTCCTCCTCTTCCTGTATTTTCTTCCCTAGTTTGCTCACCTGAAAGGAAGAATATTCAGGGACCAGTATATACTACTGTAAATTAGTTATATTGCTTTCAAAATGTATTTTTTAAAAGTCCTTATTCAGTAGAGACTATGTGCAAAGAGTAAAGAATATATAGACCAGAATCAGAGAAAGGTGATCCATTGTAACTGTGGAGACTTAATCCTTAGTTGATACATTTAGTCCTCGAGGGACAGTTGTACCCAAACAGGGGCATAATATTTAAGTTAGTAAGAAATATAATTTTTAAAAAATCAGAACTTGATGGCAGATGTTATTTTTCAGGAATGAACCCAACAACTCCAGAAGCAGAAGAAAACCTTAAGTCTTGCCTCTCAGCTGATATCCAACCCAAGGGCCATCTCTCATCTGGTGTGTGGAGGCAGCCTAAGGAGGGTAAAGAATGGGGCGAGGAATATGTCACGAAAGACCATCCAGACAAACTTAAGGAAGCTGGCCAGGGCAGACACAGCTCCTTGGAAAATGTTTTATGTGAAACCTCTTTAGCTGGTAAGTCCCAAGGGGGAGTGCAGGCTGAAATTGTAAAGAACAGGAAACCTAAGGGCTGGAATCCTTGCAATTTAGATGCACTGGACATATGAGACCATCCAGTTTCTGGTTTCCTTCCAAGACAAATAAACTAAAGTCTATAGAGGAGAAGGGACTCACCTGTGGTCACGTGGCCAACTGTGACCACCAGCTTGATTCTAGGTCTCCACAACATTTAGTAATGTAGCACTTTGGGGGAAAAAAAGGCATAAGGTTAGTGGAGAAGAGGGAAGAATTTTGTGACCTTGTATTCAGTGATATGGTAACTTCAATATATAAATCTTGTATCAGGGGTCTACCACCAAAACGCCAAACACTGCACAGGGTCTGTTCTCCCTCCTTCTTTCCTCCTTTCTTTTTTTCAAATCATAAATCATCACTGAGCACTTACTGTACGTCAGACAATGACATTTCCCTCCAACAATTTTAATATTTTTATTATCAAATACATGAAAAAATGACATCATACTAAAAGGTTTATTATGAAGTACAGCAGTGACCACTTTAAATTCTTTTGACAGTTTTTTTCTGGTACTTGCTTCCATTTCTTAAGAAGAGTTTATGCTACTGTTTTCAATCAGTACTTTATTGATGATTAATTTACATAGAGTAAAATTCACAAAGCTTAAGCTCAAGCTCACTGTCCCCCTTATGATCACTACCCAGGTCATGATATACAGATCTCTATAATAAGTACGTTAATATTTCTAATAATAGAAATATTACCCCAGAAAGTTCGCCCATGCACCTTTCCAGGCAATACCCACCCACAGAACCACTATTCTGACTTCTGTCACCGTAAATTAGTTGTGTCTGTTCTTGAACTCCATATAAATGGAATATTACAACATGTAGCCTTTGTGTCTGGCCTCTTTCTCCCAACATAATATGTTGTGTGTAATTTATTCAGTAGTGTATTCCTTTTTATTAATCATATTGAATGAATTTACCACAATTTGTCCATTCTCCTGTTGCTGGACATTTGGATTGCTTCCAGCTTAGGGTTATTATGAGGAAAACTGCTATGAATGTTCTTGTGTAAGTCTTTTTTTTTTTTCTTTTTTAGTGTATGCCCGAATTTCTCTTGGGTGTATACCTAGGAGTAGACTTTAGTTTATAGGATCATATTTAACTTTAAAAGAAAACATCAAGCAGTTTACCAAAGTGGCTGGACCATTTACACTCTTATCAGCAAATGCATGAGAGGTCCAGTTGCCTTATAGCCTTCTCAGTATTTAGTATGGTCAGTCTTTTTAATTTGAACCATTCTTGTTCAAATTAAGATACCAGGCTGTGTCCTGGTATCATATTGTAGTTTTAATTTGCACTGCCCTGAGGACTAATGGTGTTGAGCATCCTTCCATATGCTTATTGGCTATTTATATAATTTCTTTTATGAAGTGCCTATGTAAGTCCTTTGTCTAACTTATCTTTTTATTCTCTGTTAGTAGGGTTTCTTAATTTATTTTAGATGTGAGTCTCTGTCAGATATGTGTTGAGAATATTTTACTCCATTATATGGCTTAACTTTTCACTTTTGAAATAGTCTTTTGATAAATAGACATTCTTAATTTTAATGAAGTTCAATTTATCAATTTGAAACTTTTAAAATAGCTTGTAACTTCCATGTTCTTCCAAGAAATTTTTGCCTATTCTAGGGTTATAAAGATATCCTAATATGTTTTCTTATAAGATATAGTTTCAGCTTTCTCATTTAGGTCTGACTTAAATAAATTTTTTCAATGTTAATTTTTTATTAATAATTACCTTGAATAAATTTTGATGTGTGGTATGAGGAAGGAGTCCAGGTTCCTTTTTATTTCCCATGTGGCTATCCAGTTGCTTCAGCTCTGTTTACTGAAAATACCTTCCTTTCCACATTGAATTGCACAGGAAAAGTCAACTGATCACATATGGGTGGGTTTAATTCTAGATACTATATTCTTTTTATTCCAATTAGTAGAGAACTGACATCTTCTATTATTGATGTTCCAATCGAAGCATATGGTATATGTCTCCTTTTGTATAGGTCTTCTTTAATTTTTCTTAGCAATGTAACAGAAAATCTATCATTTACATTTTGTTTTGTAAAGCATTTGCCCTGTCATCCTAGTCCATCTGGCTCATTGCACTGCTGCCATCCTGGAACTTCTCAGTCTTCCTGGTAATTCCCTTCAAATTTTTCCTATGTTAGCTTCCTATTTGGGGTTTTGTGGGGTTTTTTGCATATCCTTCTTGGTTTCTTGGTTTACTCCTTGTTTTGGTGGAATACCTGGTCCAGTAGCTTCCACATGATTTGCTGATAATTCATGTAGCTGAATATAAAATCATTTCCATCATCATTTTGAAACAACTGTCCATGGTCCTCAAACTTCTAATGTTTCTAATAAAAAGTCCAATACCATTCTAATCCTCAGTCCTTTGTATGTTACCTGACTTTTCTAACATTTAGGATCTTTTCTTTATCTTTGATGTGCTAAAGTTTCACAGTGATGTAGTGTGCCTTACAATGACATGGCAGGTTTTTCATTAATTATTCTGAGTGCAATTAGCCTTTTCCTCTGGAAATACATGTCCTGATATTTTTTTCTATTATTAATGTTTTTAAATTAATTTTTAAATTTTTTATTTGGGGGGGGTGAGGGGAGGTAATAGGGTTTATTTATTTCCTAATGGAGGTACTGAGGATTGAACCCAGGACCCTGTGCATGCTAAACACTTGCTTTACCACTGAATTATATCCTTCCCCCCTATTATTAATTTGATAATATCTTCTCACTCATTTTCTTTCTTTTACCTGAAACTTCTACTAATTTATATTGGATTTCCTGGATTTATCTTTTCCATTACCATCTTTTGCTGTATGTCTCTCTCTTGATTTTTTTGGGGGGGTGGAGTGGGTAGGAGGTAGATGGGCAAGCTTCCTTGAATTTATCTTCTATTCCTTTAAAAAATGCGAAAAAGTTTCTTCCTTTTTATTGTTTGTCTTTTTTAAAAAATAGCATCCTGTAATTACTAAATGGCTATTTTTTTGGTAACTCTTTGAGGATATTAATTATAAGATTTTTTTAAAAGTTTTCTTTTGTTTTCTGCATTGTCTCTATTTATTCATGGTTCCCCTCTTCCTTCAAAAAAAAAAGTATATATATATATTTTTTCCCTTCTTTTTCTTTTATGTTGTAAGATTGATTCAAATGTTTGAGGATTCTTAGCTAATTATTTATACCCAAGAAAGGGCCCTGAATTAAAAGAGACCGAAAAATTTTGTGTTGGCTAAGGTTATCAACAGGTAGACTTCACTATTGGCTAACCAGGTGGCAAATTAACTTTTTGATAGGTGACCTCTTTATGTCAGTGTTTGTAGATCTTTTTTGCTTGGACAGTTCAGTTTCTCCAGTGAAATATCCTCCTGCCTCATGCCTGGGCAGTGTAAGTCTGGCTGCTGGCATTCTGGGATCTGCAGCAAAAGGGGCTGAGGGAGCTCACTGTTCAGTATGCAAGCCTTCTCTGAGTCCTCTTCTTTGCATTTTAGCATCTCAACTCTGCCTTCTACCATGTCTGATGTATTTATCCCATGTACCAAAGACTTGGGCTTCTCTAGTTTAATTCTTCTTGTTTCCCATGGGGTAGAAATGAGGAAGCCAACTGGCATAGGGGTGGGGAGCTGGAGGTCCACTTGCACTTTATGTAGACCGTCTCTCCGGTTTCCAGCATTGGCCCTTCTTTGTACTTTCTGTAATGCCTTGGTGCCAATGATCCTTGAGCCTTTCTGCTTCTCAGATTTTCCATCTGCAGATGAAAACACCAAAGGAGAGGGTTTTGTGCTCTTTACTGTGCTGAATTAATAACCATGCCTCCATTCTGTCTTCCATCTTCCAGAAACTTGCTGGTGTCTCTTTATTTCACTTTCAGTATCTTTTTATTGCTTCCTATCATTTAATTGGGTTTCAGGGAAGAGTGGTTAACAAAAATTCCCTCCTTGGTTTGTTTTTACAGCTAAAAGACAGACTGTGGCTCTAGAACTGCTTGAATCAGAAAGAAAATATGTCATTAACATCTCTCTGATCCTGAAGATCAAGGCAACATTCCAGGGGTCAGATGGAAAGAGGAATCCCAAAGAGAGAAGGTATCCATGTATTCATTGCCTTTGTTTTTCAGATTGATTAAAATTTAAGGTAAGTTGTTTACTGTTTCCACTTCGGGAATTCTAAGACCTATAAAGAGTTCCAGAAACAGTCTTTGAAAAGAAAACTAGGCAGTGACAGCAGGTAACCCTTGGCAAGTCTCAAATTTAGACAGTAAGCAGAGAAGAAAATGAGTGTAGCCTCTGGGGCTTTCAGTGTCCCTAGCATGTTTGTTAGGAACCTAGAGGGGGAGTAAATGCTACAGGGAGGGAGACATTGCCATCTGCTGCCATCCTCATGTTCCCTGGGATCATGGAAGAC